GTATTTACATTGAACCTTATGGGAAAATTTACCTCGAGTTGCGACCAACTTGAGTTGCAACTAGAGTCACAGAACGGATTAAGTTCGTAACTAGAGGTACCACTGTATAGGCTGGCTTTGAATAAAAGCTTTTGAGTAATTTCCCTCCCTCCCAAAAATTTGAATTGGATGAAGTTTTATTGCTTTGATTTCATTGTGGAATATTGTTATCTGATTTGTTCCTTTATCAATTAATGGACAGAAGCTAATATTTATATTCTCTGTTTGTTTATTTTCAATATGTTTCCAGGGAACAGAAAGACTCACTAGAATTTCTGGAATAATACTGCCTTTTATTAATCATATGAAACCAGAAGTTCTTCTTTTGTGATCAAACAAAATATCTTCTGTCCTTTGGATTGGCATAGGTTCTGTAGCTCTTGCCAGGGATTTTCACTCTGGGAAAAGAATGGTGCTTTGATAAGTATGCTTGCTTCATTCTGATTTATTACATTATTTTTGTCTTCCCCCTCCAATCTGCATCTCTAATCTCACCTGCTTCAACCGATAATACCCCTTCACATTCCCTTCCCCGGCATTTCTTTACAGCTGTCTTCATCATGGACGGCCTGAGCCTTTGGACCTCCACCTGGGCATGTTCCTGCCCACATTGCTAACCCAGGCAACCCAAGAACAGCAGGATCGCTTCTTCATGCCTGCTTGGAACTTGGAGATCATTGGCACATATGCCCAGACAGAGATGGGACATGGTACAGTACTTTCAAGTCTTATTTGCAAGGGTAGTCTAGCTTTTGCAAAAGGCATGGGCTCTGTTTCTTAATAGCCTAGTCCTTCTGGCTGTCCAGTTGACAGCTACAGGCTTCTCTTCTAAGAAGAATAAACTGTTCAGATGGACGTAGAGGCAGAGGCTTCTGAAGGTACAAAGACAGCATATTTGTTTAAAAGATGGCATTACTAAGGAGTCAAAGCACATTTTCCCTTGATTCCTGAATGTCGTATGCTTGGCATTTTTTTTTTGTGCTTAAGAAAGATAGTAAACCTGAAACACAATAATTAGCAGATACTACACTTGATCTTAGCCAACAGGCCGAGAAGGTGATATGAAATATGATTTGTATTTTCACTTACATGTATACCTACTTATACTTATTACTCTATTTTTATTCATGTTTTACATGTATACCTACTTATACTTATTACTCTATTTTTATTCATGTTTTACATGTATACCTACTTATACTTATTACTCTATTTTTATTCATGTTTTACATGTATACCTACTTATACTTATTACTCTATTTTTATTCATGTTTTATTTAATCTGTTTGTTATATTACTTTTGTAAAGAGTTTTATTAATTATTTATTGTTTAATTGTTATTTTGATAAGGCCTTAGGGCTAATCAATAAACTTTGATTTGATTTGAACACAATAATTAGCAAATGCTCCTGAGCAAGAGTGGTCTATCTGTTTTTATGCAATCACTTTCAAATTAAGGTACATTTTTAAAAGATTTCAGAGAGGTATCTTTCCTACTGGCCCTGATTAATTATGTCATTAACTTATACATTCATAAGTTTTCTGGGAAACATCTTGGTTTCTCAGTCATTTTATTACCTCTAAATATAACAATAACTTTTGCAAGACCACCTGAAATAATTTCTCTTCGGTAGACTTTTCTGTACCTTCAGATAACCTCTGAAGTAAACTGTTCTGCCAATCTTATGGAAGAGAGAAACTGAAGATGAATGTGATAGACATCCAAAATTCATGTGTAGCTCTAGCATTTACCATAGGTCCATATTTGTATATTCAAGACAGTATTCATATTTAAAAATTATGTACAATTAAGAGATAGAAACCCTGGGGAAATAAAGCAGTTACTCTAATTTGTAGTGTAATTTATCAAAGATACAGCTTTCCACCTTGCTCCAAAACTGGTTCATATTCTGAACAAAGAGCTAAAGACACATTAAATGTCTTTTGCTCCAAAAATCAAAACTGCTACCATGTTCTCTAAATCCACAAAACCTATATGAATGCAAGATGGTCTTAAAAGAAAAAAAGTGTCCACTTCGAACTTACAGTTTGAAAATTCTGGGTGTCCAACTGCAACTGGGATGTTGATGATGGCTGCAGGAGGAAGAAAACAAATTTGAAGATCTGTGATTGAAAAACATTGCAGAAGCAGATGTTGAAAACTTTAGCCTGGTTCTAAAGACTGTTGTGCAAGACAATATCTGGATTTAGAGAAAAAATCATTTTTACCCTAAAGCTTCTTTGGAAAAGAATTATCATGGGACTCTTTAATTTACCTTGTCAGATATCTAAAATATATATTTGCATGCATACTGTAGTGACAAATAAGACAAAGAAGGTGCACAATAATATAGCAATTTGACAGCATTCTTATATTAATACTGCAATTAGGCATGCATCCACTGTTTCATACATCTATCTGTCTTGTAATGTGTGTGCTATTTTCCATTATGTCAATGTACATTTACAGTCGTTTTTTTTCTTATTTGCATTGTCTGTGTCTGCATTGCTAATGAAGTTCATTGAAATAAATCTAATTCTGTATATTTGCGCTGAACTCTGCAACTGTTGAAATAAGATATGCTATCTGCCTACAGGAACCCATCTCCGGGGACTGGAAACCACAGCCACCTATGATCCTGCTACCCAAGAATTCATCCTTAACAGTCCAACTGTGACTTCTATTAAGTGGTGGCCAGGTGGATGTAAGTGTATTGTTAAAGGATTAAAGCTAAAGGAAGAGCTGTTTTCTTCTTTCAGACTTTTTAAATATGAAGTCAATTAACTATTGATATTTTTTAAAATACAACTTTGGCTGTGTAATATTTCCGTATATAGAAAGTATGAGTAAAAAATATTGGTTCTTGTTTAAGGGCTAATTAGGCTTTAGAATCAACAGAATAAAATTAAGAGTAGTTTTATTAGCCTAAACATTATAGATGTCAGACAGAAATAAATCCTTCTGTTTCACTAATTCTACATATTCCTTATTCAGTAATTCTGCTTATTCTTTATTCCTTCTATTTCATTTCAGTTTGGGAATAAAAGGAAGTGTTTCCGTATTACAGAACCTACAACGTTTGAGCCTGTTTGTTTTGTGTGGGCTATTGTCTTAGTGGACAACATGTTTCTTGGACTATACAAATCAACTTTTACTTGCTAAATTTTCTTTTATTTTTTTCCCCTTCTTGCAGTGGGTAAGACATCAAACTATGCCATTGTTTTGGCTCAGCTTTATACCCAGAACAAATGTCATGGGTTACATGCTTTCATTGTGCCTCTACGTCAGTTGGGAACTCATGAACCATTGCCAGGTATGGAGTCCATAACTACTGTGTTACTACCCTTTCTCAACTAGGGTTCTGTGAGAGGTTGCCAGGGATTCCATGAGAGATTATGATTAAACAACAACAACATTGTTTTCTTTTTTGATGAGAATTTTTATGCACTGTGACTCAGCTGTTGGCCTGCTCCTTTGCTGTTGTTGTAAACATTGTGGATTGTGTAGGTTAGAAATGAATTGTATTGTGAAGTTTTCATGGTTTTTGCGATTTTTATGCAAGGGTTCCCTGAGACCTGAAAATTATTTCAAGGTTTCCCCCAGGGTAAAAAAGATTGAGAAAGGCTTTTCCAGTCAATATCTAGCATATTTGTACATATTTACGTTGGGCATATTAGTTGCCTTACAAATGAATCACAAACTCCATATTTAAACAGCATGAGCTATCCAATTTAAAACATGTGGCATCACAAATCTTCCTCAAGGGATATATATCATGTAGGGAAAAATTACATATACAGGTAGTCCTTGAGTTACAACCATTCGTTTAGCGACCATTTGAAGTTATGACGGTGCTGAGTGAAGGGACTTACAACCAGTCCTCGAAGTTCTGCCCATTGCAGTGTCACATGAACAAAATTCAGGTGCCTGGCAACCAGCTCACATTTACGACCAGGTGCAGCATCCTGGAGTTGCTGTATTGCCATTTGATCCCTTCTCTGCCAGCTTCCCCTAAGCAAAGTCAGTGGGAAGCCAGCAAGGAAGGTCCCAAGTTGCTGTGGTATGTCTCCCCCCCACCCCAGCCTTTCCCCCTCCTTCCCCCTTCACTAACACACAACCTACCCCCTCCTTCCACAGCCTCCCTGCAATAGCGCACATATACACACCCCCGTGCTCTTTTTCCGCGGCCTCCCTGTGGTTGCACACATGCACACGCATACCCTGCACCCTCTTTCATGGCCTCCCTGTGATCGCAGCATGCACGTACACTGCACCTCTTTCCTCAGCCTCCCTGCGCTTGTATGCATCCTGTGCCCTCATACCCCAGCCTTTCTGAGCTTGTGCCACACCAAGCACCCCTCCCCCAATTTGGACATGGCCTGCACTGGGCCTCCAAGTAAGGTTGAGATTCAAGTAACATGGAGGGAGGGAGGGAGGATTTCTGATGTTCATTGCCAGCTTCCCACAAGCAAAGTCAATGGGGAAGCTGGTAGCAAGTCGTAAGTCGCTCCTACTCCCACTGCTTTTTTGCCCTTGGTCTTTCTGTTTCTCTGTTTAGGTAAGGAAATATCTCTGAAACAATGATCCAACAGGTCACAGGTTGTCTAGTTTATTTTAAAAATGCCAGGGCAAGCAAGAAAATGGTATTGAAACCTGGTTTCCATTCTTAAAAATTGTAAATTTAATATCACTTTGTTCTCAAGACCAGGACAAAAATAAGAATAATGGTGTAAGAAAAAGAAGAAAATAAAACAAAATGAACGTTTTCACAAACTGTTGCCTTAAAATCTTATTTCCGGGCACAATTTTGGAATTCGCATCATTGGTACTTCCATCATTTAGCACTTGGAACTCATTAATGTTGGGAGGAAGAATACTTTGAGAATGCCCCACCCCCTTCAAATTTGTATTAAGAATATTAAGAACCAGTTACATTTCTTTGGATTATCCTGTTTGCAGGCATTACCATCGGTGACATTGGCCCAAAATTTGGTTATGATGAAATGGATAACGGTTACTTAAAAATGGACAATTTCCGCATTCCCCGGGAAAATATGCTAATGAAACATGCCAAGGTAAGCAGTGGGATTTGTTTTGTTTTTGCTATTTGCTATTACTTTATCTATGCCAGCTGTTCAGACAGCTTGAAAGAGAAACTATCCAAAGTCAAGGCTTCCTTTGCCTAATCAGTATGTTCTCAGGAGGTAATTGATCATCTGATAGTCAAAACCAATCCTCAAGTTTGCTTTGAAGAAAAAACAATCAAATCTCCATTTAAGGTAAAATCCAGATGTATATCACTTGCCTAGGAGTTCTGATTGTTAAGTTTTTCTCTCATTACCAGCTCTTGAAATCAGCTTCCTAGAAGGGGGTTCAAGAGTGTGTCAAAGTTTGGTGTGTTGCAATTTATGGTAATAGAGGAGGAAGAGTTCCTGTAAAATGAAGGAGTAAATGGGAGGGCATGGTGACTATTAACGTCAAATAGATTCTGGCTCCCGCCCCACTGCCTCCTATTTAATGAATGTTAATAACATGTTAACTACCTGATCTTCCCTTTCATACGTTTACCAGCCCTCTGTATTACTTAACTACCCTAATGTTGGTTATTAGTTTTGTTGTCAATCTACGTGGAATTACTTTGATAATATGACCTAATTACCACAAGGATGATGTCACCTACTTCACAATATGTGCCAAACAAGAGGCATTATGCAAGTCTATTAATTTTAAATTAGTTACCTGCTCCTTCATGTCAGTGGTGTCCAAAACATTTGTTTAAATAACACTAATGAACAGAACTAATTCTAAAATGCCTTTTTTTTTTAATAGGGGTCTAACAAGATATTTTTAGTGGGTCCAGTGACAAAGCACAGTGTTAATTTTTACAAACTTACAAAACCAGTACTGGGTGAACAAAACTTTTCCCACCCGCACTACTTTATTTCACTAGGTTGAACCAGATGGCACATATGTGAAGCCTCTCAATGCCAAGCTAACTTACGGGACCATGGTGTTCATCCGTTCAATTATTGTTGGAGATGCAGCTCGCAGTTTAGCCAGAGCTTGTACAATTGCCATCCGCTATAGTGCCATAAGACATCAGTCGGAGTTACAGCCTGGGTAAGAAGCCTGTATTAAGATGCTCAGGGACAGTTTTAATAATGCCATAGCTACCTTACCCATAGCACTTTTGTTGTGAAAAAAAGAGGTGCGTGACCTCTTTTTTTTTTAAATAATGTTTGGTTTTCAAAACAAGTTTTCCTGGGAAGTGTGGTTGACAAGAACAGTGTAGAAATATCTAGAGGTGACCTTGGAGAAGATACACAGAGACCGTTAGCAAAACACGAGCTCCAGGAAAACCAAAAAGCACGAGAAGCAGACTTAACGTTGCCTTGCCTTAACTCTTTGGTATAAGAGAAAGGAGAGGGAAAACACTGTCAGGCTTCCAAAGTTCTGCTATCATAACCTAGATCAATAAAGTAGGGTCCTAGTATATCTTCTGGTACCTATTTCTTGACCTGACCTACCTCGAACATCTGACAAGCAGAATTTGCTGGCAAATTATGCTAACCAATTTTAACATCTCCTGTGGATTTTGTGAGTCAAAAAAATACTTACTTTGTAAGAAGAAAACACAAGCTTCTTCTCCCTCCCCTTCCCCCTGCCAGAGAACCTAGCGTCTCTTTTTTGTCACTTTGGTCACATGCAGTTGAAACAAGGCTGCACTGAGGCTCAGCCTTACACTGGGAACCACTGTTACTGGGAACCTGCCGATTTGTGATGATACAAAACGGGCCAGGAGTTGGTAATAAGCTGTGTGGCAACCATGGCTATAAGGTGCAATTCTTGAGCCAAGGTAGGAATAAGGCAGAATTGTTCCAGAATTGCAGACATTTGTTCACAATTCCTAAACTATTTCACTATTTCTTTCTTTTTTTTCCTTACCTCCCCCTTTTGGATTTCTCTCTTGTATTTTGCTGGAATTCTTAGTTACTTAACCCCTTTTGTATTTTGAAAATAAGTAGTAGTCTTATTGGCCATATATTGGACGAAGCCAGGATCACTTTTATAAGTAAACTAGACAACCC